CGTCGTCTTTCGGGTTGACCTTGAATAAATGCGTCGTATCGCTCAACAGTACGCACGATGCCGTGGTAACTGCTGTAATTCGCTGCGATGACCTGTCGGCAAATCTCCAATTTTAACCCTTCTGTGTACGTCTGGATTCTTTCGCCTTCGGTCAGGTCGATGATGCGGTTGAATAGGAGCTCCATCTGCTGCGTGTACTATGCTACACTACTGTATTGCTTATGCCGATTATTTTGCTGCCGCGCCATGTAGGTCGTATTAATCGGTTCGAAACGCTCGATTAAGTCTGCCCAAAACGGCTGCCACGTTTTCTCCCCGCGGGCCACGTCGGTCTAATAAATCCTTTCGAGTGCCGGTCCACGTAATGGTGTTGCTGCGGGCCGAATTCTTGCTGCGTCGTGTTACGGAGTCGAACAGCCAATGGCCTCGAAGTAAATTTCGAGGGTTGCCACGAATCGCCGGACGTCGGATCCCTTCGTGCTGGGATCGAACGCTTCAGGGAGCCTCGGTCGTGCTGCTTCGAGGTTCGACGGTAATGGTGCCATCGGTCTATGAAATGTCGGTGTCGCCACTACTGCGGGTGTTCTTGCTGCTATGTTCACTGCTGCATTCGCTGCTGCTGCGATGCCGATTCCCCGTTGGTGTGTCAGAAGGGCCTCGAGTCGTCGTAGCGCCGCCTGCGTCTGCTCCAGGTGAATGCAGAGGCTCGCGATGTCGCTCGTTTTCGCATAGTTGTCACCTTGGCCCTCCATGCCTGACATTGCGCGTCCAAAAAACCAAAACGAGCGGGAGCGAAAAACACGGAACCGGTTTAACGTACCCGAAATGGATGTTTAAGTGTGTCGCCCCTGCGGTTTTTGAAGACTCGGTTTTAGCGGTCGAAAAACTTTCGTGTGTAAACAGGCTATAATTACCAGGTGTGAGGATCTAGGATTGAGCTCAGAAATGTGAGTTGTAATTCATTGATCCACCTGCGTATAACACGAGGCTATATATCGTCTTGAGACAAAGCCAGTTACCCAGATGTTACGCGAATGTTCTGAGGGTCGCGAAGCATCCCGAACACAACCTTCTCGAACTCCATAGAAAGCAATTCGGTGGAAACCGGATAGACTTGAGTTCGGTACACGTAGCGTGGTTCGGTGCTATAGCTATAATAAATGATAGGAATGTACCTAACCTAGGAAATCAAGCATATATATGCATGATAAAATAAACCTAAGCTAGGTATAGCATAATAAAGTCTAGGCAAGCTAGCAAAGCCAGCATAAGCCGTCGTACTCTCACAACAGCATATAATGATAAGATATAGTTTGACAGTGAACCCGATAACTACCATAAACACTTGACTCAACTAGGCATAAGCACAATAAAGATCTACTTTTATGTTGGATTCGTGCTTGTTTGATCTTAGCCAAATCGCCCAATTTGCACTAAACTTACTTTGCGTCGACCTTCGGCATGGAAACCTGGAGATTGGGAAAGGTCAAGTGCTTGACCTCAATTTTCTAGTGCTTATTACCGTACAAGCAATGCAACACCCGCTCCCACACCCACCCTCCTCCCCCCTCCCCTCCCCTTTTGCCTATCACCAACGGATCTTGCTCTTTATGTGGCACGATCTAGTCCACGGATATTCCCTTCAACACTTAGCTTCTTCAGCACCCAGCTATATCCACCCGATAACTATGCTGCTGATGACTAGCATACTGTGCATTCATTTGCTGCATAGACATCGTATCATGGCTCAAGAGAAAACTTATGGAGTAAAACACGCCTTGATACAAGTTAACGTAAACTTTGCACTAGGTACACAAAAACATAAATAAATTTCACTCCTATTGCTGCACCCTTGATGTACGCATATGACCATGCGTACCTCAAGGCGTCCTTCCATTTCGTTGCGAGGAGTATGATGAACCAAGTCGAAAATTTTCCAACCCTTTCACCTCCGCTTGACTCTAAATATCATCTGCCAAGCCAACATTGAAAGTGAGCAACAGTGCCCCGTGTGCAGGTGCCACGTCACCAAAGACCACCTGACAAAAATTGCAAAAGTGAATGGAAATGGGCATTTCTTGTCCGGGAAGCAGTAACATTATAATTTTCAAACACACATAGTGTTTTTTAAAATTGTGTATTCTGAAAGCGAAGCTGCTTGTATTGCACAATTGGCATCGTCGAAGCGTGCTAAACGCCCTTCTCCAACTACAAAAAACGTGGGTTGGAGTTCATTTCCCTCCACCCACGTATCTCTATTTCAAACGGCTCACTCAACATTTCCACTCGCGTAGTTTATCCCTCCGTCCAAGCTGGCTAAAACAAAATCGCTTCGTGGAGGCGAGTCACCATCGACTTTACTCAGCGACATTTTTAACTTCAATCAGTCAACGATGGCACCAACGCCGACCTTTAACAACGGGAACTCATCCAACCCCGCGTCTGACTCCGACCGTAACACCCGCGATTTGGCGCGCGAATGCCGTAACAAGCGACGTGCAGAAGATGGACCGCCGTCCCCGACTGCAGTGGATATGCTGCTGGGCGGGCTCAAGGTCAACAAAGCGCCCGACGCCTAGCAGCACTCTTCGGCGCCTGTGGCGCCAATGGCACCTGCGGCGCAAATGGCAACGGCTGCTGGCGCAACAGACGCCAGTGGCGCCAAACACCCGCCAAGACCCGCGGCTGGACCGTCGCATCATCACCAGAGGAGGCGGACGGCGGTCTCCTCGACTGACGCAAGGACCGCCCCTGCGTTACAATAAGAACAGCCCATCAGCGTTACAGCCGCAGAAACTGCACTACCCGCTGCATCTGCGTCGGCTAAAAAATAAAATGCGAAAAAAGGAAAAATGCACGTGAGGAGCAAGGACAAATCGGTAAGACGACGACGCAGCGACAGCCGCGCCGCTTGCAAAGCGGTTGACAACGACACAGACGACTTTGAAGATGAAGCCGGTGAGGCTCCTGTCAACAATGTTAATTTTAATGGCAGCAAACACCTTCCCCCGCTCCCTTCTTCTAACCTCACTTTTTCGACGGCGACATTCGTCAACGACTCCGTGCGAGAGCAAGTGGAGCTGCTGTAGGACTTGCGCGCGTACCTGCTGCACACGGAATACAACGCGCAGCGCGGGGACCCGGGGGCAGACTCGAACTCATCTCGCACGCTCTCAACCTTATCTCGGGTTGTTTCGAGGTGCTTCAAGTGGAGGACGTCTCCGACTTCCGCACGGCGAAGCGCTTCAAGTTGTACCAGCAGAAGAGCCTGCTGAATCCCGACCCTTCAAGCAGACGGTGGCGGAAATGGCGACGATGGACTGGGCGGCAAGCGGATACGCTCGTATCAACCGCGGCGGAAACAACCCGCCGATGCCGTTCTTACCCAAGCGGGCCCTCCGCCCACGGCCAATTGCCGTGGATTTCGGGGCTCGTGCTTCCGCTACGGCCAGCCGGGCCATGTGGCAAGTGCCTGCCTTAGGAACGGGCATGGGGGCCATGAGCAGGCAACCCATGATGCGTTCTAAAAAAGGGGGGGGGGGGGGGGGGGGGGTTGGCGAGGAAGAGACACAAGAAGCGTCGGCGAGTACCCGACATACTTGTTGACATTTCGATAGATTGTCAATGTTGTTCACATCTTGATATATGGTTGCTCGTACATGCATGCGGATGCTTTGAAATGAAACACCCAACGATCACCCCATTTTGCCCCCACTATACAGGAGCACGTCGGTGCGACGTGATATGCTACGACGATCCATATCAATTCGCCATTACGGACAAAACTATTATACAGATGCAAGGTCGGCTTCGTGCGACCTTTGCGTAGTGGGGTTCCTGGTGCCCCTGCAGCCTTGTCCTCTCCGTCATCGCCAAGGGCTACTGGCTGCCATGGAGCCACGGCCCACCACATCCCTTCCACGATCGCAACCATGTTGGGGCGAACACGCACGCCACGTTCACATGAACCGCCATCCAAGAACTCATAGAGACTGGAGCAGCAATCCCGATGCCCGCAACGGAACTTAAGCGCATGAGCCCACTCAACGTGGTCGAGCAAAAAGACAAATGCAGACAGTTGTAATGAGAACGATGCCAATTGATAGGAATAAGAAAGCAGGCTTTATTAATAAAAGGAAGCAAGAGAAATAATTAAGGAGCTAGATAGTACGAAGAAGATAGGAAAAAATAAATGCGTGAGAAGGAGTGAACACCAAGACGGCAGAGCCGAGTGATAAGGTTGGGAGGGGAACAACGAGAACTCAACACCTTGAGTTCGTCTTCAGTCTGCAGTCGCAAGGCCTGCGCGCTGTTGTGTTCCACGAGCACCAAGAGAGCGGAGCAGAGCAAGATTGGTAGGAAGGGAAAGGCAAAAGCTCAACAACCTAAACCCACCTTGAGTCTGTGTTTGCAAGGCCTGCGCGAAGTTGTGTCGCATAAGCACCAGTAGAGCAGGGTGGACCAAGCGGGGTGGGAAGGGTAAGGCGGAAACTCAATACCCTTGACCAAGCTTTAGTCTGCGGTCGCAAGGCCAACGCGAAGTTGGGTTGCACGAGCACTAGGAGAGCAGAGCGGAGTGAGGGGCGTAGCGAGGTGGGTAGGATAGAAAGGGCAAAAGCTCGACAGCCTAAAGCCACCTTGAGTCTCTGGTTGCAAGGCCTACACGAAGTTGTGTCGCATAAGCACCACGAGAGCAGGGTGGAGCGAGCGAGGTCGGAAGGATATGGTGCAAACACCCTTAACCCTGCTTCAGTCTGCTGTCACAAGGCCTGAGCGAAGTTGTGTTGCACGAGCTCCAAGAGAGCAGAGCGGAGCGAGGGATCGGCACAAACCAACTCACCAGCAGCCGGGAGCGCAGCGACAACTTATCTTGTGATAGTTTTGCAAAAACATCTAGTACCTCCATCACTACACCCTCGAAGACAGCGAAATGGTGCACGCAATATGTAAAAGTAAGACAAGATTGAGCTTTAATGCACTCTTGAGCATGTACGTAACCTCTAATGCGTAGGACAACCGCCCGCGTGGCCTCCCGCCCCTGTGGTCTCCCGCCCCCGGCCCGCGCCCGCGCCCGCGGCTGCCGCCCCTATAGGGCCCGGTCGCCCGCCTCCGGGCCGCGCCCGCGCCCACAGACACCGCCCTCGGGGGGCCCGGCCGCCCGCTTCCGGCCCGCGCCCGCGCCCGCGGCTCCTGAGGGGCCCGGTCGCCCGCCCCTGGATCGTGCCCGGCCCGCCACCCCCGGCCCGCGCCCACGCCCGCCGCCCCCGGGGGGCCCGGCCGCCCGGCTCCGGCCCACGCCCGCGCCGACTGCCCGCCGCCCCTAAGGGGGCCCGGCCGCCCGCCCCCGGCTCGCGCCCGCGCCCGTTGCCCCCGCGGGGCCCAGTCGCCCGCACCCGGCTCGCGCCCGCGCCCACCGCCCGCCGGGGGCCCGGTCGCCCGCCCCGGCCCACGTCCGCGCCCACTGCTCGCTTCCCTGAGGGGGCCCGGCCACCGCCCTCGACTCGCCCCCGCGCCCGCCGCCACCAAGGGGCCCGGCCGCCCACCCCCAGCCCGCGCCCGCGCCCGCTGCCTTCGGGGGGCTGGGCCACCCGTGCCCGCTCATACAGCTATTCATTGATAACGGCAATACAAATACAAGCCAAATAGAATGGTTTTTCCAAAAGGATTTAATTTTGGCATGATCATTGCTCAATGATGATGATATATAAAGTTTGTAGGGAAGATAAGTAAGAAAGAAGAAGTAAATATCAGGGAGTGAAGAGGTAATAGGGAAAAGAAGAGAATGGTAGTAAGATAAGTGAATAGATAGAGGAAGGGAAAAGCAAAAGGGAGGTAAGAAGAGCAGAAGCGAGAGGGAAAGAGACTAAGGAGAAGGAAACATCAAGGGACAAAAATCGATAGCAACCCTCACAACGACGCGGGCACAACGTTTCAAGCACAGCGACAAAACTCTCTACACATATGCGTTATACATATATTGCATATCGGCAACACTCTCGAAGCACCATGTCATGTGGTTCCAGGTACCCTGTCCTGCACCTAGTGGGACGGGTCTGGGCATCCACCCGTCGTCGGATTCCCCCAACTTCCGCACCGCATGTTGTAAGATGCATTGAGCCTGCGCGCGTTGCACTGCCACAGGGAGACGTGTAGCGAGCCCTGCCTCAAATATTCATGCCGATCCCTCATCCCCCACTTCCCAATCCCTCTTCTGCTATGCTATCCACTTCGTGCAGAGCCCCAGGAACTGATGCAACGGCTCGCTCGGTAGGCCAAAGGTCTCAGTTACGCACGCGTAAAACTGTGGTGCCAGCTGCAACCCCTCTAAGCGCAGCCCTTAGTGAGCAGCTTATTTCGCACCTGCCTAGCTGCTGCCACTCCAATCTGTGTGGGCGTCGACTGCTCAGTTGTACGTTCCCCTCCGGCTGTGGATCCGCTATAGAGACATCCACAGGAGCCATCATCATAGTCTGCCCAACATCGCGGAAGATGAGGTCTGGGATGCGGGAGGAGATGTCTGCACGGCCTGTACGTCTGGCTGGTCCCTACAGCTGCACTAGCTGTTGCCCTGTCTGGTCCCTGCAGCTGCTCTAGCTGTTGCCCTGTCTGGTCCCTTGGTGCCTCCTCTCCTGTCATCTCTCTCCCCGTGTCCTCCCCTCCACCCACATGTCCTCTCCCCTCCCCCTCTCTACCCTCTCCGAACCCTCCCAACCCCCCTGTTCCATCCCCTGCTGCCTCTCTCACTCCCTGATCCTCACCTCCCAATCCCGTTGCCCCCCCTGTACCCCCGTCCGCTCTCTGCTGCTCTCACCCCTGCCCCACCCCCGAGCCCACACCATGGGGCGCGAAGCCCTGAGCTTGCGACCTCTGCTAGCTCTCCTGCTACTTCCTGTGCTATCCCCCCTCTCCTGCCTAGCTGGTCTGCACTTGCTACCGTCCCCTCTGCCCACCTGCCTTTCGCGCCAAATGACCACGCAGCTGATACTGTCCACACTATGCCCTGTCACCCAGCTATCTCGCCTCAACCCTCTGCTTCAGCGATTCCTCCAGCCCGTCTCCACTCTCCCACCACCGGCTGTCCCAGCAGTCTCGCTCGAGCTGCCTCCAGGTGTGTGAACAGCGTAGAGCCCTCCATCTTCACTGCGAAGCCTGCCTCGATAGCGAATCTCTAAGGGCGAACTTCACCGTGTCGTAGATGACAATGCCGACGCCTAATCATGGATACTGAACCGCGTGGTGAGGCACCACCATGTGGTTGATCGCCGGTCCACAGGAGCACTGACCTGCAAGGGCTAACTGGGGGACGGAAGACCAAGAGGACATGATTAAGCCACCTGCCACTACGCAGGGAGACTGCGTATGGCACCGCCAACAGCCACGATCCTGTACATACGCCCTGAAGGGAAGTCAAACAGGCAAGGTACTAGGAAGATGTGTGACGGGCACGCACTACAGAAGGCGGCTCGCTCCTGCAGAAAGGGAATCGGGGGAGGCAGAGACACAAGAGGGCCAGGGTAGAAGGAGAGAGAGAGGATGTCAGGCGGGAGGCCCTCCAGCGTCGTCCGCAACGATGGGTCGATCTCTTCCGTCTCACCGGAAACAAAGCTCCGTCCAAAACCTCACCGCACACAGGAAGAGAAAAGAGGATGGGTGGATACTGCACCTGAGCACACGAAACTCACCAGGGGAATGCGCTACATGTGACGAATGACGAAACCCCCAAGGCAGATGGGAAGAAAGATTTGGTCTTGGGCGGCATCTCTGACGTCTTCGCGGCATGCCCAGGTCTCTGACGTTAAAAGCTGATGAAAAAGGGCCATTCCCTTCCCAGCCGTTAGCACCCTCGGCCTGCAGTCTAGGCTGGTGATCACGCTGCTGGGAAGGCCGCTTGTTCCAACCGCCTCCACCCGTAGCATTCTGTGGTTGGTTCCCATAACCACCAGAGCCTTCGGCACGGGGTTGCTGGCCTGACTTTTCGGGACCAATTATGTACGTGCGAATGATGTTGCCCGTTTTGATCACCTGCTTCTTCGACTCCTTGTAAGTCGTCCAATTGGTCATGCCACCAAACATGTGTGCCTGCTGCAGCTTCACAGGAAGGTCTTTCATGAAGGTATGCATCATCTCCTCATCCAATAAGCGCTTCTCGAGCATGCGTGCTGCGCCTTCAAACTCGACCGCATAGTCCTGCATCAAACGAACATGACACTTGATACTCTCAAGGCGTCCACGCCGTTCCAGGTTGGACTTCTTGACCATCAATGCCTCTTTCAATGCGGTGCAAATATCCGGCCATTCAAACGGTCCCTGCACCTGCTTCTTAGCGCCATACACTGCCCTGCAGGCCACTTCATCCAATGCACGAGTAGCTGCGGTTGTTGGGTGCAAATTCACATTGCACGACATCTTGCTGTCTATTTATATGAGTATGCATGCACGAATGCATTTGGGTTTGAGTGGAATGTTCGTATGTTTGTTTGATTTCACAATTTTCGCTTGAACCATTTATAGGTGCTCGCGCATTATGCGCTACAGCACAACATTGTACACGTTATGAACAGTACAAGCAAAAAGGACGAGCTCACAAAGGAACCCAAGATGGAAGCTTTGCGGTTCGGTTGAATTGATTGTGCAGATTCAGTTCTATCCAACTCGAAATTGTACTGTTTTGTTTGGTTGACTATAGTGTAGAAGGACAGGCACTATACAGGTACAATTTAGATGAAGGTTGAATGTTGTTTGTCTGTATCTCCATGCTACAGGGCCAGGGGAAACCAGCGGAACCAGCATTTGGCTGGTTGGGCAAAGACAAAACAGGTTCTGTTTTTAGGACCTGAACCTGGTTGTTGTTTTCTAGGGTGGGAAAAACAGAACCAGAGGTTGTTTACCAACCTACTACCTGCTCTTTTGTCCAGGCAGGTTGGTTCTGTTGCTTGGAATTATTTGGGATCATCCCTGGTTGTTCCCAGGTTGATACCCAAGGTCCTTGCTAGCTAGAGCTATTTATTCCTTCTCTGTTTGTTCCTGAATATAGTCAATTTTGATTCAAGCGAATTCCTCTATTCCTGGAATTTCGTTTCTACGCAGTGCGACGGCGGAATGCTACGCGAGTCAACGCTAGTACGCTAGCACTCCAACGCTAGGCAAACTCTGTTCGAGCCATAACTTCGTAATGGCAGAACTTTTCACGAGGCAACTTGGCTTATTTTAAAGCTCTTGGAGTGAGCTTTGATATATGAAATTTTCAGCTTAATTCGTTCGACGGTCTGTACGATACGCTGCGCGACGTTCAAGGTACTCTTGTTATTTTGACTAAGTCATTCTTGATCCCTCACTCTACAAACTCGGACCCAAAGATAGGGGCTGGTCTTGTACCAGGCACCCAAGGACCTTTGGAGGTGACCCCGAGGAGAGGTTTTAAGTTTGATAAAGTCTTAATAGCTTGAGTTTGTTAGGCCCTTACACCAACAAGCTGGTATCAGAACTGCGTTATAGTGATCCTCGATATAGGTAGCTATGGCGAGCAACACCTCGACGACAGCTGGTGAATCTTCAGCCCAAGATCGTAGAGGCAGCCATGATTATGGTGTTTCAGCGCCAAGTCGAGCGCGAACAAACCAGGGCTCGCTGGTCAAGGAGGTGCTGAAGAATTTCACTGTCGAGAAGTTTAATGGTGAGGGCTATGATGATTGGGCCTGGAAAATACAACTATATTTCTGTCAGATTGGATTGCTGAAACTAATTATTGGGGAGGAGCCCAGACCGAGTGACCCCGCGCTGCAGGACGGTTGGGACCAGCGCTCCTCGGCTGGCTACTATTTCATGTCGCACAGTTTGGAGCTAAACCAGTGTCACCACATCATGCATCTGCTGCCAGAGGTTGAGTGCGGTCCGAAGGCGTGGACCGTGATCAAGGAGCTGCACGCCCCGACCTCCGTTGTTGCAACATTGATGCTGGAGAGGGAGCTGTCCGCGTAGCGCCTGAGCGAAGGAGAGCCGGTGAAACCTGTCCTGGAAAAATTGCGCGACCTCTATGCGAAGTTGGCCACCGCGGGAATCACCTACCCAGAGCAGACCAAGTGCCTGAAGATGCTCTCGCTGCTGCCGGAATCGTGGCTGCCGGGAGACAGCGTTAGCTTAGCGTTGGAGTCCTAGCATACTAGCGTTGACTCGGGTAGCATTCCGCCGTCGCACCGCGTAGAAACGAAATTCCAACAAGGAAGGAATTCGCTTGAATCAATTTCGCTATATTCTGGTACGATTAGAGAAGGAATATATAATCATAGCTAGCAAGGACCTTGGGAATCAACCTGGGAAGAACCAGGGATGATCCCAAATAATTCCAAGCACCAGAACCAACCTGGCTGGACAAAACAGCAGGTGCTGTGCCACCTCGTTGCTGTCCGCCCTAACCGCCAGTCGCGGCCCTGCACTGCACCCGCCCTTGGTAAGCGCCCGCCTGCCAAGCGCGCTGCTGCGCCGTGCCGCCCAGCCGAGCCGCGCCGCCCTGCCGAGCCGCGCCACCCTGACGAGCTGCGCTGCCCTGCCAAGCCGCGCCGCTCTGCCGAGCCGCGCCGCCCTGCCCTACTGCTCCTGCTGCTGCTACTGCCGCTATGGCTAGCCCTACGATTCTTACCTTCGATGCTGAGGGTCGTGCGGTTGATTTCGAAGTTTGGGTAGATAACCTGCAGCTCTATCGTCAATGCGACACTAGGGACGGAGTCTCGCTTTTCCATCACACGTCCGGCGCCTCTGTTGCACCTGCTATCGATGCTGACATTACAGTTCGCTCGTAGTGGACTACTCGTGACGCTGTTGCTCGCCTTGCTGTTCGTAGTCACCTGCCGTCTGCTGAGCGCGCGCACTTTGGCTAGTACAAGACTGCTAAGTCTTTGTATGATGCCGTCGTCGCACGCTGCTCCTCCCCTGCCACTGCTGCCATCAGCCCCCTCATGCTGCCGTACTTGTTCCCTGACCTGGCCGCCTGTGCCACAGTCGCTGACATCATCACTCACCTTTGCACTAGTCACACTCGCTACACCACTGCGCTTCCCTCCAAGTTTCGCGCCAAGAACCTCCCCCCCCCCCATGTACATCACCCTCTTCTACCTCGTCACCCTTGACTCTCTTCTCTCAGTCAGGGACCACTTTCTCTTCCTTTACCCCACCGAGCTCACTGTCGACCTGCTCGAGGAGCGCCTCACTGCAGCTAAGACTAGCATTGTTACTGTAGGAGCTTCTCTCGACGACCCTCGCGCCCCTTTCTTTGAGGGGTGTTCCCCCGTTCCCCTTTTGCCCTCTGTTGGTTCTGCTGCTGCTGTCGACCTCATTAACACAGAGGAGGTTGGAGCTGCGTCTGCTCCTAGTGGGAGGCGCCGCAGCGGCAAGGGCAAGGGGGGCAAGGGTGGTAGAGGGGACGACGGGGGCAGCGGCGGTGGCGGTGGACAAGGCGGAGGGGTTGGGAGTGGAGGTGGGGGTGGTGGCGGGAGTGGGGGCGTCGGTGGCGTCGGTGGAGGTGGGGGCGGTAGCGGCAGCGGCAGTGGGGTTGGCGGCGGCGGTGGTGCTGGTTGGGGTGGAGCCGCGGAGGCTTTGGGGGTAGCCAGCGAGAGCAACACTCGCGTTCCCGTGAGGCCCCGTCGCCCCAGTAGCTTTGTTAGTGGTACGCAGGGCGTGGGAGTTCTGGGGTGCTGGTCCCTGCGCTTATGTTCTCCGCACTGGCGAGCACCGAGGGGAGACGTGCGGGCTGCCACAAACGACACATTGCTGTTTCGGTCGCCTGTCTGACACCTGACGTGCACAGTTTCCTGACACCACTGAGCTCCCTCGCTGGGCTGATCTGCTTAAGACTCGTGTTGCTATCTTTGATCTTGATTACGATGCTATCCTTGCTGCCATGTATGCTGTGACTATTTGTGTTGAGGGTGACTGTTACCTGTGTGTGCTGCACGACCCAGGTATAGAGGCTGCTGCTCTAGGTGCTAGTGTGTCTGCTGCTCCAGGTCCTAGTGAGTCTGCTCTCTCAAGTACTGTGCCTACTGAGGCCTTGCACACCTTCACGCCTGACTCAGGTGCTTCCTACTCCTTCTTTCGTGACCGCACCACACTCATGCTGCTCAGTCGGCCGGTTGCTGTCTCCCTGGCGGACCCCTCTGGGGGCCCAGTCCTTTCGCACTCCTCTACGGTTCTGCCGTGTCCGGCGTTCCCGTTTGGCTCACTGTCGGGTCTTCATATCCCCTCGTTCTCTACGAACTTGGTGAGTGGAGCTGACCTCTAGGGCGTGTGGGTTGACCAGTTCACTCCTAGAGGTCAGCGGGTGACCCACTGTACGTGTACTCGCACGGACCGCCACCAGGCCACGTTCACCCCTCGACCTGGGTCGTGTCAGATTTATATCACATAGCTACTGTAGGCTATAGTGGGGTAGCACATATGGGGTACAGCTTTTCTAGGGTTTGTATTTGTACCCAACCTTCACTTAGTCATCTCATTCTCGTTCTCATTATCACATGGTATCAGAGCAGGTCCCCTCCTAGGGACTCTTCCTAGGGCCCACCGAAGCGCGCCTCGAGTCGCCCTCTCCCTTTTTTTTTCTTTTTTTTTCGCGACCCGTCGTGTCGCCCCTAGCGGCCCGTCGCGCCGCCCTTACGGTCGCGTCGAGCTGCCCTAGCGGCAGCGGCGCGCCGCCCTTGCAGCGGCTTGTCGCGCCGCCCTTCCTCGAGCGGCCCCGCCGCCCTTCCTCAAGCGGCCCCGCCGCCCCATCGAGCGGCCCCGCCGCCCTTCCTCGCGGCCTCGCTGCTCCGTCGCGCGGCCCCGCTGCCCTTCCTCGCGGCCCCGCCGCCCTTCCTCGCGGCCCCGCTGCTCCGTCGCGCGGCCCCGTTGCCCTTCCTCGCGGCCCCGCCACTCCATCGAGCGGCCCCGCCGCCCTGCGGCCCTACTCGCCGCCCTACCTGCAGCCCTACCGCCGCCCTACCTGTGGCCCTACTCGCCGCCCTACCTGCGGCCCTACCGCCGCCCTACCTGCGGCCCTTCCACCGCCCTACCTGCGGCCCCACCGCCGCCCTACCTGCGGCCCTTCCACCGCCCTACCTGCGGCCCTACCGCCGCCCTACCTGCGGCCCACCCGCTGCCCTACATGCGGCTCACCCGCCGCCCTACCTGCGGCTCACCCGCCGCCCTACTTGCGGCTCACCCGCTGCCCTACTTGCGGCTCACCCGCCGCCCTATCTACAACCGCCGCGCCGCCCTGAACCAGCGCCACCGCGCCGCCCTGCACCACACCCGCCTAGCAGCAGAACCGCCGGGAGTCGAGCCGCCCTGCCGCCGAGCCGCCCAGCAGCCGAGCCGCCTTGCCGCCGAGCCGCCCGGGAGCCGAGCCGCCCTGCCGCCGAGCCGCCGAGCAGCCAAGCCGCCCAGCCGCCAAGCCACCGAGCAGCCGAGCCGCCGAGCCGCCGAGCCGCCCAGCAGCCGGGCCGCCCTACTGCTGAGCCGCCCGACCTGCCCTGTCCGGTGAGCATAACACCTCTGTCGCTCCGTGCCCTTCCCCTACTGCTTGCACTGCTACACTATCGTCGTCATGGCTACCCCTAGTGTCCTCGCTTTTGACGGTGAGGGTCGAGCCATTGACTTTGAGGTCTGGGTCGACGACCTGCAGCTGTTCTTACAGTGCGATAGGGCGGACAGTCTTTCTCTCTTTGACCTCACCTCTGGCACCTCTCCTGCCCCTGCTGCTGATGCTGACCCCACTGTTCGCTCTCAGTGGGCCACCCACGATGCTATTGCACGTCTAGCTGTGCGTCGCCACCTGCCTACCACTGAGCGTGCGCACTTTAGTCTGTACAACAGTGCTCAGACCTTGTACGACACTGTAGTTGCGCGCTACTATTCCCCTGCCACTGCTCCACTGAGCCGCCTAATGCTACCGTACCTCTTTCCTGACCTTGCTGCCTTTCCCGCGGTCGCTGACCTCATTACGCACCTCCGCACCAGTGACACTCGCTACCGCGCCGCGCTTCCTGCTGAGTTCTGCGCCAAGAACCCACCCCCCATGTACATCACTCTCTATTACATAGTCACACGCCTCCCTGACTCCCTTCGAGTAGTCAGGGACCACTTCCTCTCAGTCTGTCCCACCACTTTCACTGTTGACCTCCTAGAGAAGGCCCTCCTGGCGGCGGAGAAGAGCATCATCGCTGTAGGAGCCTCTCGTGGGGACCCTCGCACCCCCATCTTTGAGGGGTGTTCTCCTTCCCCCATGCTGCCCTCTGTTGCCTCTGCTACTGCTGCCGACCTGCTTGGTCTTGAGTCGGTCGGGGCGGCGTCTGCCCCTAGCGGGAGACGCCGCCCTGGCAAAGGCAAGGGGGGCAAGGGCGCGGGTGGAGCTGGCGGGGGCGGTGGAGGTGGCGATGGAGGCGGCGGAGGGAGTGGGGGTGGCGGTGGGAGTGGTGGCGGGGGCGGTGGTGGTGGTGGCGGCAGCGGAGGTGGAGGCGGTGGCGACGGCAGCGGTGGGAGTTGAGGCGGCGGTGGTGGCCGAGGTGGAGGCGGCGGTGGCGGAGGGGGTGGAGCTGGTCGGGGTGGTGCCCCGCAGCGGAGAGGCTCTGGTGGTGGTCAGCTCCAGGCGCAGCAGCAGTAGCACCATTCGCGGGACATCCCCCAGCCCCAGCAGCTCCGTGAGTGGTACACGCAGCGTCAGCGGGGTGGGGGTTTTGGTCCGTGCACCTACGTCCTTTGTTCCGGCGACCGCGCGGGTGAGCGATGTGGGGGTGCCCACCCCACCCAGCGCTGCTTTGGCTGCCTGACGGACGCTAGGCGTCAACAATTCCCCGAGGCTAGTGAGATTCCTTGCTAGGGAGAGCTGTTAAGGGCTGGCGTAGCTATCTTTGATCTTGACTTTGATGCTATCCTTGCTGCCATGTATGCTGTGACTATTAGTGAGGAGGGTGACTGTTACCGGTGTATCCCGCCCGACTCGGGCATTGGTACTGCTGCGCTAGGTGCTTGTGAGGCTGCTACTCTAGGTGCCAGTGCGTCTGCGCTCTCAGGTACTGGTGAGGCTGCACTCTCAGGTACTGCGTCGGCTTCGGCCTCCCTCACCTTCACACTTGACTCAGGGGCTTCTTGCTCTATCTTTCGAGACCCCACCACACTCACGCCGCTTGGTCGGCCGGTTGCAGTCTCCCTGGCTGACCCCTCTAGGGGTCCTGTCCTCTCTCACTTCTCCACTGTCCTCCCATGCCGGCTGCCCCCTCAGGCACCCTGTCTGGTCTGTACCTCCCCTCGTTCTCGGCGAACTTGGTGAGTGGTGCTGACCTGCAGGATGCTGGGGTTCACCAGTTTACTCTTGCGAATCAGCGGGTGACCCACTGCTCGGACGCCCGCACAGGCCGACACCTGGCCACGTTTTTCCGTCGGCCGGGGTCGAGTCTCTACACCCTGACCACTGAGTTTCCTCCTGTCCCTACGTCTGGCCAAGTAGCTGCGTCGGGTCAAGTGTTTGCTGCTGCGTCCAGGTCTGGTCCTGAGTCTGCCCCCTGCTCGTGTCGCCTCCTGTCTCACGAGACTCTCCTGTGGCACCACCGTCTTGGCCACCCCTCCTTACCTCGTCTTTGGGGCATGGCTTCCCGTGTCCTTGTCTCTGGTCTCCCGCGGTCTCTCCCTCCCCTTCCTTCGGGGCCTGGACCTTCCTGTGTCCCCTATGTCGAGGGGCGGCTCCGGGCTGCCCCTCACTCCTCTCAGTTTCCCCCGACAGAGGCCCCGCTGCAGACGCTTCACATGGACGTGTGGGGCCCGGCCCGCGTCCGTGGACAGGGTCACGAGCGCTACTTCCTACTGGTGGTTCACGGCTATTCGCGATACACCATAGTCTTCCCCTTGCGCAGCAAGGGTGATGTCACTGAGGTGTTGATCGACTGGATCCGCGCAGCTTGTCTCCAGCTCAGGAGGAGCTTCGGCTCGGACTTTCCTGTTCTGCGCCTGCACTCTGACCGAGGTGGAGAGTTCTCCTCTAGCCTTCTACGAGCCTACTGTTGTGCACGAGGCATCCGCCAGACCTTTACGCTTCCGGTCTCTCCACAGCAAAATGGGATTGCTGAGCGCCGCATTGGCATGGTCATGGGCGTCGCTCGTACGTCCATGATGCATGCGGCTGCCCCCCATTTTCTGTGGCCGGTTGCGGTTCGGTACGCAACGCATCGGATCAACCTTCACCCAAGGGTCTCCCGGCCGGAGACCTCCCCAGCTCTGCTGTGGACGGGGAAGGTCGGCAATGCGTCTGCGTTCCGTGTCAAGGGATCTCGGACGTTTGTCCGTGACTTGTCTGCGGACAATCTGTCCCCTCGTGCTGCTCCCTGTATCTTCCTAGGCTTCCCCCCTGACGCACCAGGGTGGCCGTTCTACCACCCCTCCTCTCGTCGTCTTCTGTCCTCCCAGAACGTCACGTTCGACGAGTCAGTCCCCTTCTACCGCCTCTTCCCCTACCGCACTCCTTCCCTCCCCCCGCCACCGCACTTCCTTGTGCCAGGTCCCCCCCCGGTAGACCCCCTTCCCCAACAGGGTCTTGCCCCTTCAGGTGTGTCCCAGGTAGACGCAGTCGAGCCGGTCAAGGTTGCTAGTGACTCTGGTACTGCTGTGGGTGCTGAGCCTGGGGGTGCTGACTCTGGGTGTGCTGCGCGCGTGGGTGCTGAGCCTGGGGGTGTTGAGCCTAGGGGTGCTGAGTCTGGGGGTGCTGCGCCTGGGGGTGCTGCGACTGGGGGTGCTGAGCCTGGGGGTGCTACATCAGGAGCTCCACAGCCAGGGGGTGCTGTGTCTGGAGCTGCTGAGCCTGGAGTTGCGGGGCCTGCAGCCACTGGACCTCCCCTTGTGACGTCTTGCGGTGCGGGGCCTGGAGGTTCTCCGGGTGCTTCGTCTCGGCGGGAGCCCCTCTCTCCACAGGAGCTGCCGGGTGGTTTGTTCGCCGCTGGAGGCGTACTGCTGGAGCTGGAGCTTCTTCGGCTACTGAGGGTACTTGTGCCGCTGGTCGTGGAGCTGCTGGGCCTTCGGGTCCGCCTGGAGCTGAAGCTACTGAGGGTGTTGGTGCTGAGACTGCTGCTGTCCTTCCTCACGGTGGTCCTGCTGCGGGTACTGCTAGTGCTGCTGGAGGTCCAGCCGCTGGAGGTGCTGTTGGCGCTAGTGCTGCGGCTGAGGGTGCTGGTGCTGTCCCTGCTGTGTCTAAAGTTGCCGTGCGGCCTCGGCCGTACTTCGTTCCGCTCGTGCACCAGGTTCTTGGTCTTTCCCCTCCTG